AGGAAACCGGCTCCCGCCTTGTAACTGGGAGATCCCACCTTCTGGCTTCCCGCCTATTTGGGACCTTTCATGGGGCTTCCCAGTTCGGCAGCTTCTCAGCAGGAAATTAGTGGGCCGCGTTTGAGAAAAACACGTTTTCCGGCCTCAATAAAGAGTCGGGACAAACCCGGCCGGGCGTGGCTTCAGTGGTTGAGCGTCGACCTATGAGCCAGGAGGTCACGGTTCGATTTCCCGGTCATGGCACATGCCCGGGTTGCGGGCTCCATCCCCAGGAGGGGGCGTGCAGGAGGCGGCCGATCCATGATTCCCTCTCATCATTGATGTTTCTCTTTCTCTCTCCCCCTCTCCCTTCCTCTCTGAAATCAATAAAAATATATGTAAAAAGAACAACAATCCCAGAGACAAAGCATAAAATCAGAGTCTCCTGATTGCAACCCAGAGAGGAAACAGGAAGATCCCTGCCGGGAAGAGACCGGCCTGGCATCCGGTGTTACCCAACACCGGCTCAGAGGTGGGTTTCCGGGCCGGCCCGGCATCGGCTCTAGAGTGGTGCCAGGTTTGGAGCACCTCCCACGCCAGCCTCCGTCCATGTGACTCATGAGGCCCTTTGTCCCCTGGCCAGAGATGGACGCATGACTCAGGAGAGCCTGAGAGCTGGGCCTGGAGTGCCATGGGGATGGCTGGGAAACAACCCCTCCTACGTTGCCAGGACAACGGCCCCTCCTCAGTTGCCAGGACAACGGCCTCTCCTCCCTTTCCAGGACATCAGCCCCTCCTCAGTTGCCAGGAAAACAGCCTCTCCTCCATTACCAGGACCACAGCCTGGAGCTGCCTGGAGCCCATGCTTACCGATAGGTCGCCACCTCCAGGCTGAGGCTGGTCTTCACCTGCACCAGCTCCTGATAGTCCCGCAGGTGGTCGGCCATGGCCAAGGTGAGGGCAGCCTTCTCATCCTCCAGGCGGTCAATCGCACTCTAGAAAGATCAGAGGGTGTTTAGATCAAGGCCCGGAGCTGTGCTGGGTCCAACTGGCGGGACCAATAGTCCAGGACACAGAGAGATGAAAATCGTCCAGGTTAAAGAGGCAGTCATCGCAAGGATGGTTTTAAGTGGTGCATTTGTTCCATGTAGTTTTTTTTATTATTATTACATATGGAAGTTTTGTGTGTTTTTTAATCCTCACCTGAGGATATTTTTCCATTGATTTTTTTTTAGAGAGAATGGAAGGGAGGAGGGGGAGAGAGAGAGAAACATTGATGTTAAAGAGACACACACCAATTGATTGTCTCTAACCCAGCTGGGGATTGAGCCTGCAACTGAGGTATGTGTCCCTTTTATAAAATGAATGAATTTTTAAAAATTTTTAAATATTTTTATTGATTTCAGAGAAGAAGGGAGATAGAGATAGAAACATCAATGATGAGAGAGAATCATAGATCGGCTGCCTCCTGCACGCCCCAACTGGGGATCAAGCCCACAACCCCGACATGTGCCCTGACTTGGAATCGAACTGTGACCTCCTGTTTCATAGGTCGATGCTCAACCACCGAGCCATGCTGGCCGGGCTAAATCTTTTTTGACTGTACTTGTAGGACATCATTAACAGGGTATGTGCTCACATGACTCTTACAGCCCTTCTGCTGGTCAATCACATCTGTCCATCTCTCTCCATGTGCTTGTGTGTCCCCGCCTCTAGAACAATGCCAGCCGCACGGCACCCCACTGATGACTCCAGACTCAGCCACAAGGTTAGCGTATAGAACATAAACACTTTACTTCCTTCTACTCTACAAAATTCAACCTAAATAGTCCAACCTGAGACTCTGTTGTAGTTTATTCTTTTCAAAGACGTTCATGTATTGTCAAGCTGCTTAGAAAAAATAAAAACAGATGCACTCAATTCTCCAACCACAAAACTCCTAAGCAGGCTAAGGTCTCCTAGCCATGCCAAAGGGGTATGGGCAAAGAATCTCTCTTCCCAGAAGGCACGGAAGAGTTCTGCACCCCCCCCTTCGCCCCCCAAAACACAAAGAGGAAAATCAAACTGCGTTGGAATGAAAGGAAGTATTGTCCCAACCACATTTCTATGCGAGTCAACTTTTCCAGAAACTGCCAAAGGGAAGTTTGACTTTTGGAAGCAGGGACATAAGACTCATTGGCACCCGAACCGGTTTGGCTCAGTGGATAGAGCGTCAGCCTGCGGACTGAAGGGTCCCAGGTTCGATTCCAGTCAAGGGCACATGCCCGGGTTGCGGCCTCCATCCCATTGCGGGGCGTGGCAGCTGACCCATGATGCTCTCTCATCATTGATGATGTTTCTATCTCTATCTCCCTCTCCCTTCCTCTCTGAAATCAATAAAAATATATTTTTTAAAAAAGACTCATTGGCTCCCAACATTCTCCAGAGAAATTGTAACCCATCCCACTGATGGACTAAAGCTTCAGACTTGGGCCTGGCTGGCATGGCTCAGTGGTTGAGCGTGAACCTGTGGGCCTACGAACCAGTTCGATTCCCGGTCAGGGCACATGCCCAGGTTGGGGGCTCGATCCCCATTAGGGGGCGTGCAGGAGGCAGCCGATCCATGATGTTTCTCAGCAATGTTATTTCTCTCTCTCTATCTCCCTCTCTCTTCAATCAATTTTAAAAAATTTAATTAGGGGGATAGGGGTTCTCTCCACCCCTAGAGCTCCGAGGTCCGAGATGAGCCGAGTGAGCCGAGACAGCAAAGGAATGGTGAGGATTCAGCCCACACAACACGCCTTCAGGGAACATCTTCCAACCCACTCACTCTTGCACCGCAGTATCACCCAATCACAAATCTTTTAACTCGGAGCTACACAAACTGTTCCCTTAAAAAAATACTTCTGAGTTTATGGGCGTGTTATTTTAAGCCGTCCTCCTGGGAACTACTGATAGGAGGATTTGGGAATATTTCCAATTCTGTCCGAGGCTGGGCAGGGTGCACAGACAATAAATCACACCAGGTGTCACCCAGGCAGTGTCCGAGGTTCGAGCCTGTGCTTCTCTGGAATAGCAACTGTTTATCTTACTCGGCACTTGTTATAACAGCCTGCCACCGGCCCCGTTTCCGCGGCTTTTACACTCCCCAGAGACCTGGCTTCAGCTCCGACTGTGAAAAAACACACACACACACATCTCTGGCCCTGGCCGGTTTGGCTCAGTGGATAGAGCATCGGCCTGCGGACTGAAGGGTCCCAAGTTCGATTCCAGTCAAGGGCACATGCCCAGGTTGTGGGCTCGATCCCCAGTAGGGGGTGTTCAGGAGGCAGCTGATCCATGATTCTCTCTCATCATGGATGTTTCTATCTCTCTCTCCCTCTCCCTTCCTCTCTGAAATCAATTTAAAAAAATTTTTTTAAGATGACAGGGACAGAGCTAGCCACCAGAACCTGGCATTTGGCACTGGCCCACTGAGTCCGTGGACCAGGGGTCCATTTTCTGGGGCTGGAGAGATGTTGGGACCCTGAGGTCCTGAAGCAGAGCAAGGGGCTCTCCTTCAGTGTCCTGGCCCCAGGCGGTTCAGGCACCCTCGGGGCAGACCCCACCCACGGGTGACGCCCCGTGAAGGCGCTGTGGGTCCGGGGAGACCCGCCGCTCCCCCATCCCCTGCAGGGCGCTTCGGGGCCGGTCCCTGTGAAACAGACCTGCCGCTCGGTCCCTGTGAACGGACCTGCCGCTCCTGAGCCTGCAGCTCGTAGGCCTCGCGCATCCGCAGCAGCTCGTCTTCCAACAGCGCGCGCAGTTCCTCCAGCTCCAGCGCCTGGCGTTCAGGGCTTTCGGCCTCCTGCGCGCACAGCCGGTTCTTCTTCCTCGTCTGGTTGCCGGGTCTCCTGGCCGCGCCGAAGGGCCGCCTCCAGGTCGCGCACTTTGGGTCCACACCTTGCACCGTCTTCCCGCAACCATTCCGCCAACAAGCAGGGAGGAAGTT